CTGGGCTCTGGGTCTTGACTGCACTGGAAAATGGCTGGTGGGGAAAACAGGGAGGAAAATTATACAACCAAATGTCATTGTGGAGTTGCATCAGCTGCAGCTGCTGAGCTCAAGTCAGGCCCAGCAGCAGAGAGCTCCATGGAATGGTCAGGTCGTGGTCTCAGGTAGCTCTGAGCCATCAGGAACATCCGATTTTCCATGAAAACAGAGGGAAATCTCAGCTGGGGCTGCCATCCCTTCCCCAGGATGGATGGGGTGAGGGTTTCCTGAGGGGGGATGATGTGTTCTCACTCCAGGCCTCACTGGGATGGACTTTCCTGGGAGGATATTTAAGAGAGGCCCAGGGCAAGAAGATGCAGAAGGGTCTGGTAGCACAGGAGAGTTGGCCAGAAACAACACAACCCCATTAATGTGGTTCTACCTTCTGCCAGAATTTGGGCTTTTACCTAAAACTAACAGGGAAAATAATATTATTAAAGATTTGCTACTCTGGCTGATGTAAAATAGTCTAAAATTGTATTTGTCTCAGCAGACCTGAGGGAATGGGAGGGAATGGGAGGAGACCCTGGTGCATCCCATCCCTCACAGACACCAGGGAAACCTCTGCTGGACGAGAGCAACTTGCTCTTCCTGCAAAATTTTCCACGAAAATTCTCACTTGGAAAAGGAATTCAATTGGTTTCTAGGATAATTTCTTTTTTTGCTTCCAATCATGATCTGGCAAAGGGAATAAATTCAAATTTTCCTACATGGCAAAAGTTCCATTTCAGAGGATTTGGAGCAAATCCTGCCCCTGGTCTCAGTCTCCCTGCCTGATTTTTCTCTGCACCCCCAATTTCTCCATCTCTCCCTTTCCCAGCCTTAATTCAGGGATCTAAATTCCCATCCTTATTATTTCTGGCTGCTGAAAACAAGGAGTTATTCAAGAGAAAGAAATCCATATGTTGTTTGTGTCCGTCAAACAGGGCCTCGTCCACTTTTGGGACTGTAAGAGCTCATAAAATAGAGTTTCTAGTTTGGTATAATAATATTTAAAATCGTAATAAAATACTAAACCTCTTGTAAAAACATTAACATCATAGAATCATTAGTGGGAACCATTAATTATTTATAATTTCATATAAATAATAAATTCCTATTTATGGCACTTTAATTGGAGAGTTTCCCATGGCTGCTTTATGCACCCCTGAAGAAGCATCAATAATCTGATTTTTATGGGAATTACAGCATCTCTGCCTGCTACATCCACAGAATTTTGGAATTTCCAGGCCGTGTCCCCAAAAGTCTGGGAGCTGTGGTCAGCTCTAGTGGTTTGTAGCATCTTCCTGATCCCTGGAGCTCGGGCAGAGCTGGATTCATGGTTGGCCTCGATGATCTCAGAGGGCTTTTCCCACCCGGATGATTTGGGGATTCTGGGAGGGGAGCAGCCCCCCCTTTGAATCGGGATCTTTGCCATGGGTGAGTTGCATCCTTTGCCACATCCCTGTAGCGGTGACAATCCCAGTTCCCATCCCAAGGCCAATTCCAGCCCCTGAGCAGAGCCGGGCGTGCGCTCGGGGAGGTTGAGCCCCAAAACCCCAACTCCCGCCCCAAAACCTGCCTGACACCCCCGGCTCCCAGGCTGTCCCCCTGCAATCCATCACCCCCAGCCCCTTTTCCCAGGAGGGACGGGAGCAAATCCTGCCCCAAACCTCGGCTCGGGGCGGGATTAGGCTGCGGGGATTAGTTGGGTCAGCAATTCAGCCGCTGCCAAGAGCCCGGCTCAAGGACGAGCCCGGTGCCTCCTTAAGGGCTGCAGCCTCTCCAAAATGCTGCATCCCTCGTTCGGGAGCGTTCCCGGGATGCAAACAAGGCGGCTGTGCCACGGCTGGCTAAATTTAGAGGCGCCGGTGTTGCCGTCACGCCGCCTGTGCTGCCGGAACCGCTCCGTACGCTGCCTTTATGGCATTTATTTTATTATTTTTTTCCTCGTCAGGGAAGGCTATGACTAAGAGAAATCCACATTTGGAGGGATAGCAGAAGATGGAGGCCCTGGAGGGAGAATAAAGTCGGGAGTTTGCAGACCTGAGGGTTTGCCCAAAGCATTCCTCACCCTCCTCCTCCTCCTCCTCCTCCTCTTTCTCCCTCTCTCTCCTCCTTCCTCCTCCTCTCCCTGGCAGTATCCAAAACAACACTACGATAATGACAGGCACAAACACAGCAGCCAGACGGGAATTATGGGCTGTTTTCCAGCCGCCGGGGGATAAACACCTACCTGGAGCCGTGGGGAGCCCCGGCACCGCCGTCCCCTCCCGGGGCTGCCTCAGCAGCGCCGAAGCCGAGGCGGCGATATCCGCATTTACCTACGGATTTCAGCTGCTTTTTTGGCCCGAAGTAGGGTTTTTTTTAAAGGCAATGCAGCCCTGTGTTTGCCTGGGCACAGCAGAGGGGGGGCTGAAGGTCAGCTTCCCGCTGGATTGGCAGGGAAAGGCCGGGATCAGCATTGGATGGCAGCGCTGACATCGCCGCCAATGCCCCTCCTGCAGCCGCTCCGGCTCCGGCCGCAGAGAAGCCACACTTATTATTTTAAGCCGGAAAATCCCCTTATTTTCATTCAGCACGGCCGCAGAGCTGCCGGGCAGCTCTGATAAGCGCAGCCCCCGATTCTGGGGTGCGAGGAGAGCCGTCCGTGCTCCTGCCGGGCCCCGCGGGGCCGGCGCAGCCCGGGGGTGCCCGACCCTCCGTGCCCGGGGGCACATCCCCAAATCCCGGCTGCTCGCCTTCCCTGCCCGGCCTCGCAGCTCGGGGTGCTCTCCCTTCCCTGTGCCCCGTTACATAACCCCCTGCAAAGCCGGGAATCCTCCCCGTGCCGGGATGCCAGCCTGCCTCCCCCAATTACTCAGCACAAACGCGGCACCCCCAATTTTCTCGCTGCCCCTCTCTCCGCTTCTCCATCAGCTCCGGGGAGCCTTTCCTTACCTTGCTGCTCGGGCCCGTGCATGCTGCGGGGCTGCGGAGCGCGGCCGTGTCCCGCAGCCGTGTCCCGCACACCGAGTCCCGCACGCCGAGTCCCGCACGGCGCTGCTCCGCCCGGCACCGGCGGCGGGGCCGCTCCCGGCCCGCCCGGGGCGCTGCTGCCGCCCAGCTGCCTGCCGCTCCCGGGTTATTTTTGGGATTACAGAGACTCAGGGAAGGATGGGGATGGAGGCAGACATATCACACCGCCTAAAATGTGGCCTGGAGTGGGATCTGGAGTCGGGGAGCCTTTCCTTACCTTGCTGCTCGGGCCCGTGCATGCTGCGGGGCTGCGGAGCGCGGCCGTGTCCCGCAGCCGTGTCCCGCAGCCGTGTCCCGCACACCGGGTCCCGCAGCCGAGTCCCGCGGCCGTGTCCCGCAGCCGTGTCCCGCAGCCGAGTCCCGCAGCCGGGTCCCGCACGCCGAGTCCCGCACGGGGGATCTGGAGTCTGCAGCGCGAGCCTCAGCAGGGATTTTTTGTTTGTTTTCCTTGATTTTTTTTTTTTTGTTTCCTTTGACTGAGTGCTTTTTAATTTTATTTTTCATTTTTCTTGCTCTTTTTTTCTCTTTTCTTTGTTTTTTCCCCTTTGCCTGTTATTGTTATTGTTATTGTTATTGTTATTGTTATTGTTCCTTTTTCTTGCGTTTTTTCCCCTTATTTTTTTCCCCCTCTCTGGAGAATGCTAAATGCCGCTGGATGGACTCAGCAGGGATGTCCCTTGCCCAAGCTCTGCAGCCCCGGGAGTGGGGCTGATCCAGGCACACCTGGGGCACTTCCCTGGCTACCAGGCAGACAAACACTCCAGTGAGGCTGTAAACAAATATTTGGAATCATTTGGGCTGGAAAAGTCCTCTCAGATCATCGAGCCCAGCCACCACTGCCAAGGCCACCACTGCCCCGTGTCCCCAGGTGTCACATCCACAGGGATTTTAAATCCCTCTAGGGATTAGTACTCATCCATCCAGGGCTGGACAACCCTTTCCATGTAGAAATTTCCCCAAACATCCAACCTGAGCCTCCCCCGGTGCAATTCGAGGCCGTTTCCTTTTGCTTTCCGCTCCAGCCGGGGCTGAGGTCAGGCTCTAGGGTGGGGACGTGTCCCCTGTGCCCTGCCAGCTCCCCCGGTGCCACTCGGGGGAAGCCAAGCCTTTGATCCCAGCTGGATTTTGGCTCCCATTCCTTTGCTTTTTGGCCTCCCAGCTTTTGTTTTCAGACTGAGTTCATATTCCAGCTTGCGTTGATATTTTTCCTCCTCGGATTTCTCTGCCCGCACGTCCCCGCTCCGCCTGCGGATTGTCACGACCCTGGATCGCGACATCCCCCCCGCCGGCTGCGGCTCTCCCCCGCTCCCCGGCAGCAGATTCCCGCCTTATCACCTTGTTTTCCCACTCTCCGAGCATTCCCCAGGCTCTGCTCGCTCCCAACTGGGAGTGCCCCGAGCTGTTATTCGGGAATGACAGCGACGGGCGAACTGGTGGCACTGGGAGGAGGCACTGCAGCTCCGGGGGCTCAATTCCCAGTTCCCAGTTCCCAATTCCCAGTTCCCAGCACTCGTGATGGATTACCCGGCGCACAGGACACGGCCAGAGCCTCCCTGTCCTCATGCTCTCTGGGATTTTTATCGGGAGAAGTTAAAAAGGAAATTAAAACCACTTTGTGTGCAGGGAGGGTGTTTTGAGATGGGCTTTGAGGACCCCCCCCAACCCAAACCAGGCTGGGATTGTGGGATTCTGGGATAAGGATAGGGGGGCTGGAGCAAATGGCTGCATCCAAACTGGCTTTTTAACCAATATTTTGGATTATATCAGATAAAGGACCCAAAGGGCTGCGCTGTGTCCAAATCCAAAGCCACCTTCAGGCAGGGATGCTCTGCTTCCTCTTCTTCCCCTCTCCTCCTCCTCCTCCTCAGCTCCTGCAAAGGAGCTCCAGGTCCACCCTGCCCTGCTGCCTTGGCAAGGCACAACCCACACAGACTCTGCCAGCACAGGGATCAGCAGGAGAAAATCTTTATTTACATCTCGAGAGCAGTAACAAGGCTGCAGCGATCCACCGGCAAGAAACTCCGGGAAGAAAACTCCGGGAAGCAAACTCGGCGTGACATTCCAGGGGGGAGAGAGAGGCTCCTCCCTCCACACAGTATCTCGGGTCGGTACAAAATTCCTGTGGCTTTACAAAAGGTTTGGGCTTCACAGTAAAATACCGAAGGGGAGCACGGCAGGGATGAACAGCGAGGGACAAATTCCCTGCTGGAATTTGGTCTCGGAAAATGCAACCGGTCTGGTAGAAAATTCCATCCCGAGGGCTGGATGCATGCACGGCCACGGGATTTCTACACCCACTATAGGGCTCCAAGCCTGGAAAAGGCATCTGCAGACCTGTCCTGTGCTGGGCTGCATGGAATTCTCTCTTCAGGAGGAATTTTGCAGGAGGAAAGGACAGGACACAAGGACGGGACAAGGCAAAGCAGGGATCAGCCCCTCTGCCTGGCACTCAGCTGCTTTTGTAGCCTAAAAAAACCCCTAAAACCTCCTGCCCAGAGCTGTTCCAAAGAAAGCAGCAGACAGGTTTTGGCTGTTTTGGGATTTGTGTCTAAAACCAGCCCAGACCTTCATCCCAGGGCTGTGGGAAAATCCCAGATCTTTCTGAAATGGGCTTTCCTTGCCAGCTGGAAGATTTGCAGCCTCCCAGCAGCAGGGCATGGAAAGGCCTCCTGGGACAGCAGTGAGACCTGACAATCCCTTTGCTCCTGCCTGGAAAATTCCCACCTGGAGCAGGTGGGAGCATTTTGGCCTCTCCCCAGGCAGGGGTGAGCAGGGGATGTGGGCAGTGATCCCACTCTGGCTCCACTGGGGACAGCACCAGGATGAAGCAAATTTTAGGGGATCCTTGGTCAGCACGAGGATGCTCAGCTGGGATAAATCAACCCAGGCAGGAGCTGGAGTTTGACACCTGGGAAAAAATCCCTAAAAAAATCTGGTCATTCCCTTTTCCCTGCTGTGGGCCACAGGGAAAATAAAGGAAAACTAAACCCAGGGACATCCAGCAGCAGAAAGGTGCTCTGATTAGCCCAAGAGGTGCCAGCAGTGCCAGGTTCCTGCCCTCCTGTGAGTCCCCCTGGCAGAAGCAGAATTCCCTATGGATCCAGCAGCCCCATGCACAATTCCCAAAAGGTGATGCTAAAATTCAGCACTTTTCGTATGTTTGTTTGCTTTAGACTTTTACAAACACACATCTTGCTTTTATTTATTTTTTTCTGAAATGTGTAGTTTATAAAATAAGGCAACTCGAGGAGGCCAGAATTGTCCCCACTGCTCGGGTACTGCCTCCTGCAGAAAGAGGGTGACAGTACTTCCAGCTGAGAAAAGCCCAGCCCCAGCACAATCCAGGGATGCTGTAAATGGTGGGAAAACACCTGGGCATGGCCCTGGGTGTGCCCCAAGGAAGGAAGGATCTCTGGGATTTCATGGGGAGGGAGACACTTTGCTGGGGGACGCAGCAGGAGCAGCCGAAGGGACCCCCTGGCCAGGGGACCTCGGGGACAAAGGCAGCACAGAAGGTGGAACTGAAGATTTCTCCCCAAAACTGAAGCACACGTGGAGATAAATCCTTGGGAGAAACTCTTAGGACTTTGCTATCTTGTGGTATTGAAAGCTATAAACCAGGAAAGCGCAAGGGAGTGCAGCTCACCCCCAGCCCAGGTCGTGCTGAGTGCCACAGCATTCCATAAAAACCTGTACAGCAGCTTTTTCCAGCAGGGAATTCAGCCCTCCCCATGGAAGGAGCACAAGGGAGAGTTTCACCACCAAGGTTTTGCCTCCTTTAGGTGTATTCATGCTGGAAATGTGAGCCTCACTTCTCTCAGCTCTGTAGTACACATGTTTTCCACGTTGCTCCCAAAATTCCCACTGGGCTAAGTGTTGCTTTCTAGAGCTTTATTTCTCTGAGAAATACATTTAATAGAAAATAATTTATAGAAAAAAAAAACAAAAAACACCTCAGCCTAGAGAGTTCTCAGCAGTAAACGGTCCTGTGGAGCAACAGGATGGCACATGTGGGCACAGCCAGGGATTGGGGCTGGAAAGGGATGGCAAGGACACCATGGCAAAGCTGTGTAAACCTGGAATGACCAATGTCCCAGTCAGCACCACCAATCCGGGATGGACCACGGGCAGGAAAGCTCCATAGCCCCAAAAGAGGGGGAAAAAACCCTTATTCCAGCAGACTTGACCTTCCAAACAAAGATCTGATCCTGGCTGTAACTGGTACCCACCCATGTCACCCAGCCGTGACCACCCGAGCCCAGCACAGCCCTGGCACTGTGCTGGGAACCAAATCCAGGACGGGATGAAATCCTGGTGCTTGGCACGAGCTGGTTAGTGCTCCTCGTCCGAGAGGATGGGTGGGATCCTGCTGGACAGCAGGGTGTACACGTAGGGCCAGATCTTGTTGGTCTCTGTGCCAGAGAAGGAGTGAAGGATGCCCCTGCTCCTGGAAAAAAGGTGGGAGAAGTCAGGAGAAGCCAATCCCAACCAAGGCAGCTTGGACAGGGCTGGGAGCACCCTGGGGGAGTGGAGGTGTCCCTGCCCAAGGCAGGGGATGGAATGGGGTGGGCTTTAAGGTTCCTTCCAAACCAAACCATTTTGGGATTCTGCAGTTCTCCCCCCTTCCCTGCAAGGGCAATTTTGGCCCCGCCATGTGCTTAAAAACATTCCTGGGTTTCTATTCCCTTTGAGCAGCAGATTTACCACCCTGCAGCAATCCAGCATTCCCAAACTGGCCAGGGAACAGCAGCCCCACAGTTCCAGGGACAGCAGCACCACAATTCCAGGGACAGCAGCCCCACAATTCCAGGGACAGCAGCCCCACAGTTCCAGCTCCCTTCTCCTGCCTTCTTGCCAATGTGCTTCACCCAAACCCTTCGGTGCCCTGGATGGATTTTTCATGGCATGTCCCACCTGGATCCAGGCCAAAATCCCCCTCCCATGTGGTGAGCCCAGCAGGACCAGCAGGAGCTGGGGATTTCTCTGGATCACCCTCCTTCCTCCAAGGGGGGCCCTGTCCGGCCTCAGGGCTTGGCCCAAAAATCTGCCAGGGCTCTTTGGGCTGTGGGCACGGCACAAAGAGCCCTGCTGGCTGTTCTGAGAGCCCTGCTGGGGTTTCTGCCATGCCCTACTCACTTGTAGAGCTCTATCACGGGCTTGGCAGCATCTTTGTACTTCCTGAGGCGCGCAGCCACGGCCTCGGGCCTGTCGTCCTCGCGCTGCACCAGCGGCTCCCCGGTCAGGTCATCCACACCCTGAGGGGACAGAGCACTCAGGGGTGGGAATCCATGGGATTAGAGGTCACACAGGGACCTCACCCACCCCGTCACCCACCCTGCAGCTGCCACATGCCTCCTCCTGGAGATGCCTCAGGTTTTGGCTTTTCTATTTCCACACTCTGAGCTGCTTTAGTGTGTGGGGCTGGGCTTCACATGAGGGGATGGGGAGCTCTGCACAGAGCAGGGACACAAAACAATTCCTGCTCCAGCTGGGCACCAAGGACAAATGATCCCAATCCCAGCCCAGGAGCACAAAGCCCGTGGGCTGCAGAGAGAAAAACAAGCAGGGTGGGACTGCAGGGGCTGCAGTGGGATTGGACACTGCACTGCAATGTGCACATGGAGCAGAGCTGAGCCCAGGGAGAGACCCCGGCAGCGCTCGTGCATTTTGGGGCCATTTGGGTTCATCCTGGGGGCAGCCCTGGCTGGGCTCTGGTGCTGCCCGAGGTGGATCCATGGAGGAGATCCTTGGAATCAATCCCTGCTTTGTTCTGGAACTTTCTCCAGTTTCTGCTCCAGGGCAGCCTGCACTGTCTGCATGAATCCCGCTTTCCTCAGGAAAGTTTAGCACAGTCCCTCAGGAAATTTTAGTACAATCCCTCAGGAAAGTTTAGCACAACTACTCAGGAAAGTTTAGCACAATTCCTCAGAACAATTCCTCAGAAGGTTTAGCACAATCCCTCAGGAAAGTTTAGCACAGTCCCTCAGAACATTTAGCACAGTTCCTCACGGCGCTCAGCCCTTCTGCCCCGGATCGCGCCCCCCGAGCTCCTTCAGCACCCCATCTCCTGCAGAGCAGAGCCCCTTCTCCCGGGTTTCCCTTCTGTGGGGGCTCCGGGGGGCTCCGGGGCTCTTACCCGGGTGTGGGGAGGGTTGAAGTCCATGTTGTAGACGCGGCCGCTGGCGGGGTGCACCCAGCGGGCGCTCAGGCGATCCTTCAGCGTCTCGAAGGGGATGTTCAGGCTGATCACCAGGTCCAGCTCGCAGATCCCATCCAGAGCCTTGGCCTGCCCCAGCGTCCGAGGGAAACCTGGGCAGGGACGGGGGTGAGAGGCTGGGGAGCAGTGAGGATGGAGCCAAACCCATCCCTCAGGCGCAGCCCCGCTGCGGCGCAGGCCGCGTGGAAGGCAGACACGCCATATGGCTCCGAGAAAAAATAGCTCCTGCAGCACAGCAGCTCCCGAAATGTGGCACCCGGGGCTCAGGGTGGTGGCTGCTGTCCCCGCACGGGGGCTGGGGGACACAGGCAATGGCAGAGCAGGGATGGGGGATGGAATGATGGGGGAAAACGTGAAGGGACAGCACAGAGTGCTGTGCACACACTGGGGACAAACTGCTGGCTGATGTGGGGGGCATCAAGGAGACTGCAGTGAAACAGTCCTGTCCTCCTTGGGACAACCAGTGAGCAGCTGGAGCAGAGAATTCCAGAATCCCAGATGGTTTGGATAGGAAGGGATTTCAAAGACCTGAAGGGAGCCCACAAGAAAGATGGAAAGAGATCTTTTGGAAGGGTCTGGAGGGACAGAAGAGAGGGAGTGGTTCCCACCGCCAGAAGGCAGGGATGGATGGGATATTGGGAAGGAACTGTTCCTTGGGAAGATGGGCAGGCCCTCACACAGGGTGCCCAGAGCAGCTGTGGCTGTTGCATCCCTGGCAGTGCCCAAGGCCAGGAAGGAGCAGCCTGGGATAGTGAAAGATGTCCCTGCCATGGCAGGGATGGCACTGGATGAGTTTTAAGGTGTTACCCAATCCAAACCACTCTGGGATTCTTTGATTCTCATTCCATGGCCAGGGACCCCAGGCCATGCCTGTTTGCCCTCAGCATCTCCCGTCCCTCCACCTTTTGGCTTTTGGGCTGGGATTGAGGAGCTGCTACACACTCACTCACACACACTCACACACACACACACACACACACACACACACACACACACACACACACACGTGAAGGAGGGAAGAAGTTTTTCCTGGCGTGTCTCCAGCCCTGCCTGCTTTGTGGAACACCCAGCTCCTCTCCCTGCCCTTCCCTTTCCCGGCCACGTGCCAAGGGCTCAGCTGGACACGCACGTGCCGAGGCCAGCGGGAAATGTCCCTGCCAGCAGGTCAGCTCCTGCCTCTCCTCCCACCTCCACCTCCTGGCTGTTCTCCCTCCTGGGGCTGCCAAACCACGGGGAACAAAGGAGTGTCCCAAGGGGGCTGGGATTTGCCCCTCTGGACTCACCATCGAGCAGCCAGTGCTGCTCCCGGCGCTTCTCCAGCTCGGCCATCATCACGCGCGTGATGACGTGGTCAGGCACCAGGAGGCCCCTCTCGAGGTACTGCTGGGCCAAGGCTCCAGCTTCTGCTCAAGACAGGAAAGAAAAATAGATGGAAAAGAAAAAAATCATGACATTTCCACTTAAAAAAATATCACTCCCCCTCAAATTCTGCCTGGCCTCCTCTGTCTGGGAGATTGCTGGCAGCGCCGCCCTGCTCGTGATGGAAAGGCCACACAGTCATTTTTGGGGTGGAGGAGTGGGAATTCCTGAGATACCTGAGAGCAGGAACATGCTGGGCCTCAGCCAAGCCAAGCTGATGGAGAGAGGAGCCCTGGGTGTGCTCCTTTGGCTGGGGAGATGGCTCCCACGTGGGCACAGGTGAGGGCTGTCCCCAACACCTGAGCCTGCTTCCCACCCCCAGGGCTGAAAGATTCCACACTCTCCACTTAAGATACTCTCAGGTAAGGAAATTATGCCCAAGATCACATCCTTGAGAACATAATTGTGGTAATTGTAAGGTAAGTGCACATTCCTGGGCTCTCCCACAGCCCTCAGCCTCAGCTCCTTCAGGAAGCTGCAGAGGGACTGGGGACAAGGATGGAGGGACAGGACACAGGGAATGGCTCCCACTGCCAGAGGGCAGGGGTGGAAGGGACACTGGGAAGGAATTCCTGGCTGGGAGGGTGGGCAGACCTTGGAATGGAATTCCCAGAGCAGCTGTGACTGCCCCTGGATCCCTGGCAGTGCCCAAGGCCAGGCTGGAGCACCCTGGGACAGTGGGAGGTGTCCCTGCCATGGCAGGGGGAGAACTGGATGAACTTTAAGGTCCTTTCCAACCCAAACCATTCCATGATGGAGGTTTGTTGTTATTTTCGTTCAGCCCCTCAGAAACACAAAGAAAACATTTGTCAAAGAAAACATCTCCTGCCCCAGGAGAGCTCCAGCCCCTTTCCTCTTGGACCAGGACCCCGTGGACATCTCTTCTGCTGTCTTCCCACAGCAGCTGAAATAGCATTTGTCACCAGAAATGAACAATGCCCTGATCTATTTTTTGCACCCTTTCTGGTGAGGACAGCACATTTCAGCCCTCTACAAGTGTGAGTCCTCTCTAAAAATAACCCCCAGGATCCTGCACTGGAGGCAGCTCCGGCTCTCCAGGCTGCAGCGAGGTGTCCACGTGGGCAGCACCTGCACTGGCTGGGGGTGAATTCCTCAGCTGCAGGAGGGCTTTCTGCAAAATAAACAATTCTTGGAGGGAATTCATCTGTTCTAAGGGAAGAACCAGACTGAGCAGGGGTCCAGTTCTCCTCCATCCCAGCCATTCTGTGAATTCTGTGAATTCTCTGACATGCTCCCAGGTTTAACCCAGAACCCAAAGAATCTGCATGGAAAATGCTCAGATTTTTCCCTGCTGTGTGTGACAAGTCCTTCTCCCAACACCAGAAGAAAGGTCCAGCCTCCTTCTCCCTGGAGCAGGGCCAGAAGTGCAGGGTGCTGGAATCCAGCATGCCAGCTGCCAGGGAGCGGGGCAGCGCTGACTCACGGGGCTGAGTCACCGGGACCATCCCACTGCCTCCGTGCAGGCAGGAATTCCAGCTGGCAGCCAGCACTAAACACCTTTTCTCAATGACAGCTTCTTTGTCACTGCCCAGACATCACCACATTCCGCCTGGGAAAGCCAAGGACACAGGGATGGAAAAACCAGCCTGCAGATTGCGCCAACAGCATGGAGCCCCGAGGGCACCAGCAGTATAAAAACAGGATTTTGGAATTTTTATATTTACTGACGTGGTCTGTGCAGTGCCTGAGGCTCACAGGGAATGAGCTCGCTGCAGAGCTGGGCTGCTCCAGGGAGGAGCTGGGAGGTGCTGGGTGAGGTCTGGCTGTCACCCGAGGAGGGATGGACACCCAGGGCACCAGGAGCTGTCACACAAGGTCTGGCTGTCACCCCAAGGAGGGCTGACCATCCCAGGAGCCAGGAGCTGTCACACAAATTCCAGCTGTCACCCCAAGGAGGGCTGGCCACCCCAGGAGCCAGGAGCTGTCACACAAGGTGCATCTGTCACCCCAAGGAGGGCTGGCCACCCCAGGAGCTGTCACACAAGGTCTGGCTGTCATCTGAGGAGAGATGGCCATGCCAGGAGCCTGGAGAGGCCACACAAATTCCAGCTGTCACCTCAGGGAGGGATGGCCATCCCAGGATCTGGGAGAGGCCACACAAGGTCCGGCTGTCACCTGAGGCCATCGGGCCACACAAGGTCCGGCTGTCACCTGAGGACACACGGCCATCCCAGGGAGCAGCTGTGGCTCAGCAGGGCTGCTGGAGCCAGGCCTGGAGCTGAAGGCAGGAACACCCCGGGGCTGGGAGCAGCGTGTGGGAACAGAGCAGAGCCCCACAGCCCTGCTGCCCCGGGGCTGCAGCTTTCCCACGCCCCAGGACAGACGGACAGCTCTCCACGGCTCCACCACGGACAATTCCTGCTGCTCTGGCCCTCCGTGTGTGAAGCTCCTGGAGCTTCTCCCTCCCCCAAAGCACTGCCACATCTCCTCTCTCCAAGGAGGAGCAGCCCTGGGTTTGCAGAAAGGACCTCCAGAGTTCTCTAGACCCCAGGATGTGCTGAGAGCATCGTCCCAGCCTTCCAAGCCTTGGGGTTTCTTCCAAGCAGTTTAAACTCCAAATTTAACGTTTGCCATCCCCTTCCCAGCCCCATGGAAAAGCTCCATTCCAAGGGGGAGCAGGGTCTGGGGAGTCCTTCCCCAGCAGGGAGGGGGATCCTGGCCCCCCCAAGGAGCTGGGGCTCACCCTGTAGCACCAAACCCCGTTGCTGTGGCTGGGCTGCAGGCTTTACTCTGCAGTTACTCCGGGTAGCAAAGGGCTTTGTGTTTGCAGGAAGCACCTGCAGGGCTCTGCAGACCCCAGCATGTGCTGAGAGCATCATCCCAACCTCCCAGCCCTTGGGGTTTCTTCCAGGCAGTTTAAACTCCAAATTTAGCATTTACCATCCCCTTCCCAGCCGTCCCAGCCTTCCAAGCCTTGGGGTTTCTTCCAAGCAGTTTAAACTCCAAATTTAACGTTTGCCATCCCCTTCCCAGCCCCACGGAAAAGCTCCATTCCAAGGGGGAGCAGGGTCTGGGGAGTCCTTCCCCAGCAGGGAGGGGGATCCTGGCCCCCCCAAGGAGCTGGGGCTCACCCTGTAGCACCAAACCCCGTTGCTGTGGCTGGGTCACAGGGGGAGCAGGCTTTACTCTGCAGTTACTCCAGGTAGCAAAGGGCTCTGGAGTGTGCTGAGCTCAAAGCCAGCCTGCCAACTCCTGCTTTAATCCCATTAATCTGGTGGCTGAGGGTTTAATCTGCCCTGAAACTCACGGGACTCCAGCTCCCTGTGGCTCCCCCCAAGTGACCTTGATCTGTCCCCAAGGGACGTGTCCCACGCCTGAGGGACAACTGATGATAATAACAGGGTATTTGTTTGGGGAATGATTGAAAGAGAAGGGAGTTTAGGTAGTAGTGGTTTTATTTTTCAAATTTTTTTATTAATTATTTTGGAGATTTTGAAGTAATTTTAAAGAATTAGGTTTTTTTAATGAATGATAAATATTGGAGACTTTTAGGGATTCTTTATTGGTGTAATGTGGGTTTTTTTGGTAATTTTTAAATTAATTTTTTAGGCTATTTAGGGGTTTTTTAGGGATTATTGGTTTATTTAGATGGGATTGGGTTTTTTAAAGTTAGTTTTAGAGTGGTGAGTGCATTTGTGGATTTTATTTAAAATTTATTTTTAGTTTTATTTTTATGGGGATAATAAGGGATTTTTAAAATTATAATTAAATTAATTTAAAATTTAATTAATTTTAATTATAATTCAAATAATGAAAGGATGCATAATTGTTGGGGTTTTTAAAGGTTTTTTTAATTGTATTTATAGATTTGTTTTGTAGGTATAGAGTGGCATTTTTTATATTTGTAAGGGTATTAAGGGACGTGTTATTTGTGAGGGACATGTCCCAGCCCCAAGGCCACCCAGCAGCCACCCAGGGCCAGGCAGGCCAGGCTGGAGGAGAAGCTGTTCCCAAACACAGCCCTGGGCAGCCTCCAGAGCCTGCAGCACAACCCTGGACTTTCTCCCTATCCAAAACCTTTTCCAGGATTTGCTTTTCCCATTATTTAGACTACAGCAGCCCAATCTGGAGCTAACAGAGAGGAGGAACCCTGGGTGTGCAAAGGGCACCAATGCACCACCACAACAGATGTCACCCCAATTTTGGGACCTTCTTCCTGACACAGAGGCTGCATCCCCCTGCCCTCAGCACCAGGAGGTCATTTTAGGGAGCAGGAGGCAGATGTGACCCCAAATTTGGGGTACAGGAGGGATGTGGGGTCTGAAAGGTGCCTGTGCTCAGCTGGGCTGGGCTCTGTCTGCAGGCACTGACACAGCCAGAGCACACAGCCTGCACTGCACCAAGGGAATTCAGGCTGGAGATCAGGGAAAGGTTTTCACAGAAAGGTGATAAAGCTCTGGGATGGCTGCAGGGGAGGTGGTGCAGTCCCCATCCCTGGGGGTGTTTAACAAAGCCTGGATGTGGCACGGGGGGCCAGGGTTTGGTTGGGGTGCTGGGGCTGGGCTGGACTCGATGGTCTTGGAGGTCTCCTCCATCCCAGCCATTCTGTGATTCTGTGAATTCTGGGATTCTGGGATTCTGGGATTCTGTGAATTCTGGGATTCTGGGATTCTGGGATTCTGCGATTCTGAGATTCTGTGCTTCTGTGAATTCTGTGATTCTGGGATTCTGAGATTCTGTGAAGTCTGGGATTCTGGGATTCTGTGAAGTCTGTCTGGAAGGCAACCGCCAGGACTGGGAGAGATCTCTGTGGTCAGAGCACTGCCCCCACACACAGGGACACAGCAGGCACCTATGGAAAAGCAGAGGGCTGCCAGGCTGCCCCCCTGGGCTCAGCTTTGGCCACCAACCAGGCCAGTGTGGCCAGCAAAGGCCACAATCCGTGGGGAAGGTGTGGAGAGGGGCAGTGGGGCCGGGTCGTGCACGCCCACATCCCCCAGGGAATTTTGTTGTGGATGCTCACAGAGGAAATCTGTCACGAGGAGGGGACAGGAGCCACTTCTGGCTCCAAGAGAGCACCTGACAGGGAGCAGTGGGACAGACACAAGACCACAGACCCTCAGCCAAAGGCAGGACAAGCAATTTGGTTGTTTGGCAAAGGAACTGCAGAGTCCTGCTAAGACCTGGGGATGCTGCCAACACCAGAGACAACCACCTGGGTTCCGGGGCAAATGCTGGCCAAAAAAATGGCTCACCACCCTCCAGCACCCCTGCCTGGCACCAAAACACAGCCTGTAAGTTTTCCAAGGTGTTACAAAGGCCTTTTCCTGCAGCAGAGAGCCACTTGCTGACAGGCACTAATTAGGAGACACACGGCTGGGGGCGGATGTGCTCGGGGTTGCTGGAGCAAAACTCAAGCCCTTTAGCAGCAGCAAGGCCTTTTCCTGCAGCAGAGAGCCACTTGCTGACAGGCGCTAATTAGGAGACACACGGCTGGGGGCGGATGTGCTCAGGGGTTGTTGGAGCAAAACTCAAGCCCTTTAGTAGCAGTCATGCATTCAGCTGCTTCACCTGCCTCAAAAGTGAGTCTTTGTTCCCCGAGACTGCCACCACCAGCTCCAGCAGCAGCCTGGAATGCTCTCCATGCTGGGAGCTCAGCCTTCCTCCTTTATCAGGAGCTCCCCGAGCCCTCAGCCCTCAGCCTGGCCTCTTCATGCGTGGCAGTGGCCAGCAGGAAAATCCCTGGAGCACTGGCACACCAGGCCGAGATCCCTGTAAAAACACGGCATTCACAGCTGCCTTTGGGAGGATGAGCCTGTAATGAGTCTGTTGGTTCTGCAGAGCCCCAGCTCCCCTGAAGCACAAAGCCGGTGACGCAGCTGATAAACTTGGGCAGAGGAGCTGCTCCCACCTCGTTTCCCCCGGGCACAGTCATGTAACAGCTTGTCCAAAGCAAATAGCAGAAAAAACAAAAACAAAAACTAAAAAAACCACAAATAACTGGAGCTCACTGAGAGCTGTCACAGAGGCTGAGTCAAAGGTGGGACCCAAATGTCACGCCAGATGAACCAAGCCACGGCTGGTTTCCTTCTGAGTAATTTTCCCTGCCTTTCTCCTTGTTATTTCCTTCTGAATGTACCCAAGACACCTTTCAGCTAACTCTTCTTGCTTCTCAGTGTCCCCAGAGGAGCTCTGTGGCAAGAGCATGGACTGAAAAGTGAAGTTTGGGACAGCTGGTGGTTCAGAGCTTGGCTGTGGCAGGTCCCGGGTGGGCACCGTGCTGCCCCTCTCCCCACGCTGCACCTCTGCTTGCTTTGCAGCCCAGCTTTCTGTCCTTCAGCCAAAGCCCTCAGCGAGATTTTCCAAATTTTGAGCCTCTCTCTAAAGCAAACATTATTGTCCTTTTTATTTACAAAAGGAAATCTGGGTATTTTTACATGAGCGACCAGCTCAGAGCTGTGTGCAACACCCTTGTCGGACCATGCACCTCTCCAAAACTTTACCCTCCCTAATTTTCCTCCCTGTTTATGCCATCCTTCTAAAATAGAAATCACTTCCAAACCTCTCGGCTTGTTTTGCATCGAGGCCGTTTCACCGCTCCCCTGCCCGGTGAGTCAGCTTCCCCCGGCTCGGTGTTTCACACATTAGCGGAGGACAGAAGGAAGCGTTGGGGATTGCCCAATCCCGCGGAGCTGGGGCTCAGCACGGCCGCTCCCGAGCCCAGCCCGGGCCAGGAGCCCCTCACCGCCCGCGGGACACGGGCACGGCGCATCCCGGCTCCCGGGGCTTGGATCTGGGTGTCGGGCACGGGACAGGCAGCACTGCCCAGCCCCGGGAGCCGGGTGTGCGAGGTGCGTGCTGACAGCCGTGCCCTCGCTCCTGGGACCGCGGCGACATTCCCGGCAGGTGCTCCCTCCGGACAAACGCTCCTTCCCAATCCATCCGTGCCGCCGTGGGAATGCCGCAGCATTCCAGCCATCTGCCGCGCATCCCCTGGGCAGGATGGAGTTATTCATAAGGGCAGCGCACGCCCGAGCCCCCGGCCGGCGCCGGTGGGGTCTTCACACCGCCCTGTCCGGAGCCGCGATGCCCCAGCACAGCGATAATGAAACCATCGCTCATCCACGGCACCCCGCGGCTCCCGATCCCGCTTTTCCCGAGCGGCTCGGCGAGCTCCGGCGGGAGGGAGCAGGCGATGAATGAGCCGTGCCAGGGAAGAAAACAACCTGTGGTGCCCCCGCCGCGGGCACGGATCCCCATCCCTGCCCGCCTCCATCCCACCACCACCTCCATCCGCATCCCCACGCCGTGCCAGCGCTGCCCCGCCGGAGATGCGCGGGCAGGGACCCCCCGCTCCCGGTCCCGATCCCTCTCCCGCTCCCGCTCCCGGTCCCGGTCCCGACGGGGCGGCCCCGCGGGCACTCACCGCCGCCGCCGCCGAGGCTCTCCCGCAGGAACTGCCCGCTGGAGAGGTGCTGCAGCCCGAAGCTGCGGGCGATCCTCTCGCACACCGTGCCCTTGCCCGAGCCGGGGGGGCCGAGCACCACGGCCCGCAGCAGCTTGGAGGCCATGGCCGGCTGCCGGCGCCGGAGCGCTGCGGGGCAGGACACGCGTCAGCCCCGGCCGCGCTCCCCCCGCAGCGCCCGGACACATCAGCAGGGCGGGGGGACCCCCGGCCGCTCCTCCCGCCCGCCCCCTCGGGCCGCGGCACCCTGGGATTTGTAGTCCCGGAGCCGCCCGCGCATCCCCCGGCCCGACGGGGCCCCCGCGGTTCGGCACGGCCCGGCCCGGCGCCGCGCCGCCCATGGAAGCGGCTCCCGGGGCACGTCCCGCACGCCCGGCACGGCCGTGCCCGCTGGGAGCCGGGGGGACCCACGGGGGACCCACGGGGCACCGCGACCACCGGGGCGGGCACCGCGGCTGCGAGCCGTGCCAGCCCCGCCGCGGGCCGGGAACAGCGGCTGCGGGGGTGCGGGAGGGGAGGCACGGCGTGTACAGGGGGAAAAGCACAGCCCCAGGAGGTACAGCCTGTGGGTGTGCAGCTGGAATCCACAGCGAGGGGAGGAGGTACAACCTGTGGATGTACAGCCCGGGGGGTGCAAGCTGTGGATGGCACAAGCACACACACACACGCACACACACGCACACACACACGCACACACAGCCCGGAGATGGTGCCCAGCCTGCCAACAGCCTGGCACCGCACAGCCCGCAGTGACCAGGGGCTGCTCAGCCCAGGCTGTGTCTGTCACACACAGTGACACTGGCACTCACCGCGGGGACTGTCTGTGTCACCGTGCGTGTGCGTGTGTCACCGTCTGTGTCCCTGTGTCTGTGTCCCTGTGTGTCACTGTGCGTGTGTCTGTGCGTGTCACTCCCTCTGTGTCCCTGTGTGTATCACTGTCTGTGTCCCTGTGTGCGTGTGTCACTGTGTGTGTGTGTCACTCCCCCTGTGTCCCTGTGTCTGTGTCCCTGTCTGTGTCCCTGTGCGCGTGTCCCGGCGCTGCTGAGGGGCGAGCGGCGCTCCGCGGAGGGGGCTCCCCGTCCCGTCCCGCCCCATCCCGTCCCGCGGGGCCGCCCGGCGGTCCCGGTAAGCTCGGGGAGCGCCCCGGAGCGAAGTTGGGAGGAGCGGCGGCGGCGGCCCGGGCCCCGGCGCCCCTCGGCGCCTCCTCCGAGCCCGGCGGCGCTCCGTGCCCACATGTAACCTCATGTTTGTTTTCTTCCCTCTCCAGGCTCGCCGCGCTCAAACCGCCCCGGGGGAGATGGAGATGAGGTCGGTTCCCCTGGCACGGCTCAGCCCCGGCAGGGTGAGAGCGGCTCCGGCGCTGCGAGATCCCCGGGCCGTGCGGAGGGCGGGGAGGGAGCAGCCCGGGGCTGCGGGCAGGGAATGGCCCCGTCCCCTCGCTGGGGTGCTGAAGGAATTTTGGTTCCTGTGAAGCAACTGCGAAAATGTCACCAGCCCCAAAGGGGCAGGAGGAGGTGGAACTGGAGTTTAAAAAGCGCCCAGGCCAACTTAAACGGGTTTCAAAGGTGAGAACTGGCAGCAAGCACTGGAAAGTGGAGAGGTTTTTTTTAAAAGTGCATGGAAATTTGCAGGGCCTTAGCAATAACAAGAACAAAAATGTGTGCTGGACTCCAAAACTAATGTGGGGTTTGCTATAAAAAAGGTGATTTTTTCCAGGTAAATGGAGAGCCTGCTTGAGCTTTCTCCATCAGGTCTGTGTAGCTTTAGTCTGGCTGAAGCCAAGCAAAAATCTGTGTGTGTGAGGCAAGACAACAAACTGTGTTTGTATTGGGGGAAGAGCTGGATGCTCCAGAGAAAATGGCATCAGCCCTTGGAGCAGGGGTGTGACTCCAGCAGCTGCTGCTGCAGAGGGTGCTGGGGAGGAGTTGTTCACCCTCTCCCTTTAAAACCCTGATAAGGAACTGCTGGAGCAGGACTAAAATCCTGATAGAGTGATCAAAGCATGCTTGAATGGCCAAGCAGTGATTTTCTGTCATCACCTCAGCCTGTGAGATGTAGAATCCCCAATCCCACATTTAAGCCAAGCTGAAATCAGTAGAATTCCTCACCTGGAATACCAGTGGTGGTGTGGAAACACCTGGGAGTGAGAGCCAAGGGCTCCTTGCTCCTGCAGCTCCTTTCCTTTTCAAAACCCACCCTTGCACGGGCACAATCCTCTAATATTTTTAGCAAGTTTTTGTTGTGCTTTCCTAGCAACAGCCAATTCCTTAATGATTAATCCCCAAACTGTGGCAAATCTGCAAATTTGGGGATGCGTGCTGAAGTCATCTGTGCTGCTGCCTGACGTCAGCATTGCATAATCTGTTGACTGTCCCCTTTTTATGTAATGTATGTTTGGAGTTTGTTTTAAAATGTGCAAATGTTTTTTTTTTCCCCCTGCCTGCTGCTGCTCCGATATTCCACGTTTGCCTCTCCGTTGCCCTCTGGAGTTGCAAACTTGTAAGGCAGCGTTTTCACGGCTGGACCCAGCCCAGTGTTTTGTGTTTCTCTCTTAAAAACAGCCTCTGGGACATCTCAGCACCTTCTCTTTGCCAGGTGAGTTACTTAGAGTGTTAAAAAACCTCCCCAATTTTTGCAGTTTCTGCTTCCCGCTGGTGGAAACATGGAAGCTTCTTGTGCTGCTCCATCAACATCATAAATGGACTTTTATTGGAAACTTAGTAACACATTAACTTTGGCACCGCGAAACCCTTGTGGTTTTTTTTAAACTCATTTCAGAACTTGATGTGTCCAATTCCCTCCGGCAGCGTGGGGGTGGTAGAAATAATTTTGTGATGTTTTCAGGAATGCCTGGTTTTAGGAAAGAAACAAACCAAGAGGGGGTAAAGTTGTAGAAATACACAAAAAAGTGGTGGGTGGAGAAATAGTTCCGTGGTCTTTTCAGCAGTGCCTGTTTTTAGGAAAGGAAAAAAAAACAATGGGGGGAGTAAATATAGGTCGATGGAAGCTTGTAATTTAACTAATTAGCGGGACTGTGTATTTCAAATGTTTTTATGTGGATTTGATGACCTAAGAATGCCAGCTCGGGCACCTGGAGGCCGCTCCCTGCATTCCCTGTGGGCACAGCTGGCACTGGGAGCTGCTCCCCTCGGGGGGCACGGCGTGGGTCACCCTCTGGAGCCACCCGTGCCAGCCTCCAGAGGAGCCCAGTGGAGCTGTGGGGTGGGCTGGGAAATGCCAGCTCCTGGAAAAGCAGCCAGCAGGAGCCTGGTGGTGGCTCAGGGCACGGTGCCACCCTCGGGGCCGGGGCCGTGCCCGCGGTGATCCCGCTGTCCCAGAGCGGCCCCAGAGCTCTCCTGGCTGGCTGCCACTGTCCCCATGCTCCCTGACACCCGGCACTCGGGCAGCACGAGCCAAGTGCTGCTGCCTGGCTGCTTTAAGGGGGAGGAAGGGCTGTGCCCTGTATGAGGGTGCTTTGCTCTTTCTCCATGAAATCCAGCGTGGGTGGATTTGCCCACAAGGAGCTGCTGCTTAAAACCACTCGGAAGCCGCCGTGGTCATTAAGATTTAACACTAATTATGTGGATAATTTCCTGGAGTGAACCTCAGCTGCAAAACCACTTGTGTTAAGGCTTTCACCTGTGGGGTGACACGGGGTTTTTGGGACACCGAGGGAGGAGGACACCGAGGACTCAGCAGAGGGGCCCATGACTGCCAGGCTGCCCTGGCTCAGTTATCACAGTGCTGATGCTGTCTCTTGTAAAGGTACAGTACTGTGATAACTGAAGGATGGCAGCCATCTGAGCTTCACGGCACCCTGGGGCCACCCGAGCCACCACGTGCAGCCTCCTGCTCCACTGCAGCGTGCTCGTTTCACCTGGAACCCTTGGCATAAAGGTCACGTTTGTTTCAATAAAATATTGCACTCTTTGCCTCGTTACTGGCTGCTTCGTCTGGGGAGGGCTTCCAGAAATGCTGTGCTTTGGAAGTGGTCAGAAATGGTTCCCAAAGCAGGTCCTGTGCTGCCTGGTGGATATTAAATAACAGAGAGGCCCCTCCGTGGGGTTACTTGGTAACAGAACAAATTATTCTGTAGCAATAGAGAAAATGAAGCCCTTTTAAGATACTCTTTTAATATTTTTTTTGTTAGGATACCACAGTCTTGGCTGGTTACTGTAACTCAGAGGTCTCTATGTGGGACTTGGCGATGGGAAATGGGTTCTTTCCAGCAGTGAGTTACTGGTGGGTCGGGGACAGTCCCTTGCAGGGGTTCCTTAGGGCTTCTCTGCTCTGTGAGTGGGAGACTGGATTTCCTAGGTCATTTTTACAGCGGTGTCATCAAAATCCCTGGAAATGAGGTGGTTTTCAGGGAGCCTGTGCTGATCTTTGTGCCGTGTGAGTTAACTCTGCAGTGCTGGGACGCGACAGCAGAGGGCCCCGCGGGCCGGCTTGTGGTGGGAGTGTGAAATCCCAAGATTTTTGCATGAAGTAACCGGAACCCTGCAGAAATGTCCGTGCAGTGCCCGTTTCCCAGATTCCTGCCCTGCCCCGAGGAGCTGGTGCCAGTCAGGCTCCCGAGGCTGATGCAGCACTTTCCAGAGGTCACTATTTACTCTCCGTCCTGACATTCGGCGTGGTCATTGACCCAACAGTGTTTAGAAATTCTTCTTTCTGGGCTGGATGATTCGTGTCCAGCAGGGCTTTGCCCTCTGCTTCCCTTCTGCTTGGGGAAAGGGACAGGGATTAGCTCCAAGATGGTTTTTCATTTCCCTGCTGCTCACTGGAAGTTTTTGGGGCCAGCACGGCGGGGTCAGGGCTGTGCAGCCGTGATGGAACATTTTGCCAGCCTGCGTCACTTAATAGGGGGAAATTCTTACTGCTGCTGTGACAGAGGCTCGAGGCTGCTTCTGGAGGAGGGCTCTGTCTCACCAGAAACTGCAAACAATAAAAAAAGACATCCTGCTACCAAGAGCTGAAATTCTGGATTAAAATCTGAGCAGAGTCAACCCTCAGCTTCCACTTCCCGAAGGTTACAGGCACCTCTTGATCAGGCAGGAATGTGCTTATCCCAAAAAGGAGCAGTGCTCATCTCTGTGCTGGCTGTCCCACAGCAGCACTGCTGTGCTGCTCCTTCCTGTGCCACCATCATTCCAGCATGGACGGCAGAGAGGAGGAGCTGTGCGATCCTGCCCGTGGGAGGATTTGAAAGCTGCCCAGGGCTCTCTTTTTACCCATTTCAGGATCCAGCAGGTGCTGGATGTGCATCCCCTTTCCTGGGAGAAAGGCAGGTGCATCCAGCCAGGTGCTCGTGGTGCTGCCCCAGGGACAGCTCCCAGTGCTCCCTGGTGGAGACAGCGTGGTGACTCCCTGTAGGAACCATCAAGTGCTTTCCTGCCCACAGAAAGCAAGATAAGTGCTCAGAGGCAGATCAAGGTTTGTTCTGGATCAGATCCAAGGAGTACAGTTGCTCACCCGCCTGGGCACGGCTCAGGTGTGAGGTTAAAGAGCAAGCCGTGCTGTTTTTAGGGACGTGCAGCAGAGCCGTGCAGGGGACACTCCTGGGGCTGCTGCACAGTGACTGGTGCCTCTCATTTCCTGTCACAACAAGCACAGCCTCGGCTCTGGCATGGCACAGGAGCCGAAGCACTGGCTGTGCCTCCGAGCAGCACCTCTCCAGTCACATTTACTGGAATTTATCTCCCCCTCCAGCACAGTGGGCACAGAGTCCATCTCTTTTTCCTGTAGCTTCCTCCTGGTATAGAAATGGGACCCACTGGTGGGTTTGCTGTCCAAACATTGCTGCACATGAACAATGCAACTCTCAGAGTCTCTTTTGCCACAGGAGCACTTCCTCCTACCCACGTGTTGAAGCAAGACATGAACAACCTGCATCCAGGGGTGCAGAAACAAGGTCTGTGCTCTGTGCTGAAGCTGTCTGTGGTTCCTGGGACTGATCCCAAGGCAAGGCAGTTTCTCGTGCTGTGTCTCAGCTGCCGTTCCAGATGAGTCTGTTCTTACCCAGCAGTTCTCAGGCTCTTGCATCAGGAAAGTCCCTTTTCCCATCTGGACTCTGCTGCCTTCCCACCCACGTTCCACGTGGGGAGAGGAGCACTTCTGCTCCTGGGATGTCTCCTCGGGGCTGTGAGGCTGCTCTGCTCCTGGCTCCCAGCCTCAGCTCAGCCTTTTAAGGGTGGGAGCTGTGCTCGGAGCAGCCTGGCCCTTCTGACAGCAGCTGGATTAAAGGCATCCACTCTCTGCAGCCCTTGAGACCAGGTGAAGATGTTGCCTTTTCCCAAAATGCCTTTTTTTTCCCCCTCCAAATGTACCTTCTGTTGCTGTTGGACTGAAATAACAAGAATCTTTCCCAACAGAGCTTTAAGCACTCAGCCATTTCAAAGTCCAGCAGTGCCCTGTGTGAGTCAGACTCTTTTAATTGCTGCTTATTTAGATCTTCTCCAGCTTAGTGCAGACACTTGAACTTGAACTTTAACCCAGACCTTCTGATTAAACATCTTTACAAACCAAGCTGCCTACTCACAATGTCCCCCTGCAAATATTAGATGTAGTAGAAAACTTGAGTTGATGTCTGATTAAGGATTCCTCAGCATGAGCCTGGAGATGCTGGACAATGTGGAATGAACTCTGCTGGGGCCTCTCTGTACTTCCCTGGAGCTGGGAAAAGCAGTGCCCAGGAGCAGCGTGTGAACAGAGGGTGACACAATCCCTTCTCCTTTCTCTATAAGATATTCCTGCCTGTATCTCACATTTTGGAAACAGCTGCTTGCTGACTTGTTGGATTATATGTAAACCCTGCATTTTGTCATTAGCTTGATTCACCAAGGGCAACTGACTTTATGTGATGGCTGGTCAGGGACAGAAGTACTCAGCAGGAGCTGAGTGTTCCCGTGTGGTGCAGTGTCAGTTACTGCTGCAATTGCTGCATTTGGGCAGATGAGAAAGACAAGATTGCAGAGTTTGGTACATAATTTTCTCTTAACAACATTTCACAGGAGCAGGAGAGGTGCACAGATCCATGTGTGGATTAATATACTCTTATACAAGGTCTTTAATTGATGTTGGGCATCAATTAAATGTTCTCATTTTTCTGGGAGTGGTGGAACCAGAGGAAAGACCCCTCTGCTCCAAAGGGCTTTGGCTGCCAGCTGTGCTTCAGTTCATAGGTTAAATTAGAATTCAAATCTCAAGTTCCCTTTTGACTGCAAGAGGCTGAGAGCTGCACTTTGGGGTTTGTCATGCACAGGGATGTGCATCTGCCCCTGGAAAAAGCCTCTTTCAACCAGAGTAGAAAATGGAGAAAAACACGAGGTTGCTCAGGTTTTTCCTTGGACCTCCCTAAGTCAGGCACTGCAGCCTCACCCGCAGCTCAGGACACAGCAGTCCCCGGGTCTGTGCCACACAGGGTCACCTTAAATTAAGGCAAATTTGCTCAGATTTGTGCAAGGACAGCAGTGCCAGGGGAGGCCAGAGCTGGGCAGGAGGGCTGGAGAGGGCAGGGAGTTGTTGGTGCTCCCTCTGCCTCCTCCTCTCCACGGTGAATGTCAGAGCTCTATCGACTGCCCTTCTCTGAATGAACTCCAGGAGCAGGCAGAGTACACTGAATAATTCAGGAGAGACGTGTGTTTAAACATTTGCACAAGCCTCAGATTCCTCCTGCCTAAAAATAAGACTGGCAGAGAGCAAATGATTCCTGCTCAATGGATAATGGAGCTGTGGAGCCCATCCCAGCAGCCAGGACCCCATCCGTGAGTCTCATCCCTGCTGCTGGGCCAGCCAGGACCCCATCCATGGGTCTCATCCCTGCTGCTGGGCCAGCCTGGGGCTGAGGGTGGTGGGAAGTTCAAGGCCATGAACACACAAGGGCAGCACCAGCACAGGCAGGTTTGGTCTGGTGCTGGCAAAGAGCCCTGCAGAAAGGGCTGGCAGAGGAGCAGGGGAGGTCAGTGAGCATCAACAAGGAGAGCTGTTTTCCATGATGGGAGTCTCACCTCCAGCTTATTTTAAATACAGCATGACTTTGTGATAACTCACAAAAAGGTGTCAGTGTTGGAGCAGATTCTTGCAGAGGGGAGTGGATGAGGAGGAGTCAATCCCTCTCCCACTGAAGCACAGGCTGTGCTGGATGAGGTGGACACAAATCACAGAGACATGTGAGAAGCTCCATGAGGGTGTTCCTGGTTTGGTGTGTTCCGTGTGCTCACATTCCCAGAGTGATAAAAACATCCCGTGGTTGCTTGAGCAAAATCTCCTCCCTGTGCAGAATATCCGCATCTGCATCCAAAGCCTTGCTGCATCCTGGTTTGAAATGGATCCAGAAGACTCTGGAAATGAACATTTCCACAAGTTTATTGCTAATGAAGCCTAATTAATTTTGGATGTAAATGTGCCAAGCTCCTGCAGTTGTGTGCAGCCGTGTTAAAGGAAAATTCAGTGGTTTTATCTGAACATTATCAGAGGAACAGGGTTTGTTGAGTTCCTTCTTAGACTGTGGACTTCTCCCTTCTTCACCTCTTGAACTCAGCTAAGTTAAAGGAAATGTCACAGCCTTTTAAAACACCTGCCTGAAATATAAGAGGAAATGAGGAAAAGAAAGAGATGGGAGAAGATTCCTACACTGCTCCTCACCTCTATAGCTTTCATGGACTGGAATGGTAACTTCAGCTATTTCCACCAGATTTTGTGCTGCAACCTGGATGTTCTCAGTAGGTTTGAAACCCATGTTCAAGTGCACTGTGACAATTCTCCTCTTAATGTGGACTGTGGCATTTAAAGGCCACCCAGGGTGACAGAGACCAGCCAGAACATCACATTTCTCTAAGATTCCTGACACTCTTTTTTCCCTTCCCACAGCAGCCACATCGTCCTGCTGACTCCATTCAACCAGCATAGCTGGATTGGAGCACTCAGCTCATCCTTAATGGGAAAATACTCCACTTTCCTCCAGATCTGGAGCTTGTTTGCCATCCTGCCTGGATTTCTGAGCCCTCTGTGCCATTGTGAACACCCCTCCTGGAAATACAACCTTGATTCCCAATCTCTTTATGACAGAGGGAGGGGGAATATGGTAAACTCCACCTCAAAATGCTGCTTTTCAACCCAGGGTGAGGAATTGTCATTTCCAAAAGTGCACCCGAGGAAAACAGCAGCAACAGAGTGAGCTTTGGAATTTGTCCAGGCATTAAAGATTTTTAGAAATGCTACGTGCTCTGTGTCACGTGTGTCCCCCTGAATGGGACAGGGAACCTGGACAGTGCTGGGCGTGACCTGAGCAATGCTCCAACCACGTACACAAACTCTGGGGGGTGTGGACAGAGAGGGACATGATCAATATTGGATCATTTTGGTGACAAACGTGGCATTTCCCATCTGAAAATATTTAATTATTGCTCAGGTTGAGATCACTGCTGTGCTTTGTGCCTCCCCACCAGCACACTCCACTTCCAGTAAGTGCTAAACTTTCCCTTATAAAACCCAGCTGTTGCACATACAACTTTTTCTGGGATATATATATATCTCCCTGAAAAAAAATACCCATATATATCCATAAATATCCTGGTGGATGTGGAGCCAGTCCATGAGCAGCAGCACTGTCTAGCTGCAGTGGTGTGGCGGGCAGGCAGCCAGGCAGCAAGTGGGTACCTGTGAGCTGTGCCAGCAGCAAGCTCATCCTTCTGGAAAGGGCTGTGCTGGGAAGTGGATGAGCTCAAGAAAATGCATTTGAGCTTCTGGGCACTATCGATTTGTCTTGATGTGTTTTATTCATCTGCTTGAAGCACAAGAAAAACGTGCTGGTGGATGGAGTCGGAGTTCAGGGGAGGGGGAGCAGAAGTGGGGCTTGGAGCTGGCCACCATCATCATCTTCCTCCTCTGCAGCTGCTCTAGAGCTCTACACAAACCCAGTTTCTGCTTCCCAGCAAGGCAGCAGAAGGGATCTTTTTCAGCAGAGAAATCCGGAGGGAAAATGAAAATAAAGCAGTTGGTTTGGTTTGGTGTAAGAACAATGAAGAACCAGAGAGATGGCATCAGGAATAAACAGACAGTGAAGGCAAGCAGCAACATGAACACGCCTGCTGCAGGGCTGGGACACCCAGCAGCACCTTCACACTCCCCAGCTTGGAGGAAAGTGGGTGAACTCATTCCCCCGGCCAGGAAAGTCGGGAATTGAGCTCCTGTTCCACCCCCCACCCACGGCTCTGGCAGCTCGCTGCAGCCTGCCCAGGAAATCCCCCTGGAAGCCAGAACACAAAATCTAATCTCTGCTCTGCCAAGTACCCCTGCACTACCGACGTGAAGTAGCTCTCCTTCCCCAAAATGAGATTATTAGCTTGAAACAAAAGGGTTGGGCACCATGTTTAGAAGTAGTTAATTGCTCGGAAGCAATTCACACCTTCCCCGTGTCTCAAAATAAATTCTCTCGCTTGCTTTTCCAAGCAGAGCTCTCTGAAAACCGTGTCAGCAGCGGGGTTTCACGCATGTTCCGTGAGCACAGGAAGCTGAAGATAAATTCAGCAACAGATCAGATGTGAAGAACTTGTGCACTTGGCTGTCTATTTATACACTCCACGAGCAGCCAGGGGCCCCACGGGCTCTGAGGTGTTCCGTGGGGATGGGGTGCAGGGGTACCCAAAAACCCAGCTGAAGGGCTGCTTTGGATTTTGGAGCACCCAGGGTTTCGTTGGTGACCCCTTCCTCCTGCTCCTCCTGGCCCTGCATCCTGCTCCCCATCCTGCAGCACGGGGAGAACCAAAAATACAATTTGTGAAATGATTTCTAATTTCCACAGCGGGAAATAATTTCTCTGCAGAAGCGAGCGAGAGCACAGAGTTGTTCTCAGAATGCTTTCAAATCCTACTACAGGTTAGGGAATTTTACATCTCCTTTTACTCATCTCTGACTTCATTGCATCCTCCTGAATTCTGCTGATACGAGTGAGGAGAACCAGAGTTACTGCCAGGAACAAATCAATGGCAAACTGGAACCACTTAGAGAGTGTTAAATCACCTTTATATAAAAGTCCTGTCAATCCCAAGCTGATGCCATCAGTGATGTAAAGCACTTTACCGTATGCCCCTCAGTGTAACTTGAAATATGTATTTTAAAAAAGCTTTTAAAACATTTAAACTGTTTAAAGTGAAATGTAAATATCCCATTTCAGAGGGAAAGGTGAAGCTTGAAATCAAACTGCAGAGTGGACAAGGAGGGGATAATCCATGCATCCATCCCTACCCCTTCTTTAAAGAAGGCTACAAGAGGAAATTTGTTGGAATTTAGTTTGATTTTTAAATCACAACTACCAAGATGGTCAGATCTCATCTTCTGTATTTTGCCTCTTATTTTTTTGGTGGAGAATATCAGTGCATCCTGGAATTTACAAAATAAAGAAGGATGTAAGATACAAGATGATTCTTCAGATGTGTCACTGCACCCCAGTACACAGAGGGGGAAAAAAAGGTTTATTTTTCTTTATTTACTTTTCTGCAGCTCTTTGCGAGCCTATTCTCTTGCTAAGCAAGAAACAAAGCCACAATTACAGATGATTAATTCCTTAGAGAAAACTACTTCGAGAGTTTTAATACAAAATTGCATCCTTCCTATAGGCTGGAATGTTGTGGTAAACACAGAGAATTTTGGGTATAGGTTGGAAATGCCTCCCTGTTATTAACATAGTTCTTGGAGGAATTTTTAGAAGCACATTGATTTCATCCCAGTTTCATGTCAGAGAACAACCAGCAGAAATCAGCAGTCCCAAAATCAAGGAAAAGGAGGCAAAAGCTCACGTAGCACACAGGACTGGGAGACTGAACACACAATTTCAGTGGAATCCAAGTGCCAGAGCAGCTCAGCCTGTTGTTTGTTTTTTTAAAGTGAGGTGTGTGAATTTAATTCTGGCTGAAGGACGTGGCCTTTGAGATCCTGGGTCATTCCTGGACAGGATCCTGAGCTCTGGGCATGGATTTACATGGAGGAGAGGCAAAGCTGCTCTCCTCCACGAGCAGCCCCAGGCTAAGCCCCTTATGCAATCCTTGGTCACAGCCTCAGCCGGGCATCTCCAGGGTTTAAGGACCTTGGCAGCTTCAGTTGCTGTGCTGAGAAACAAGTAAGGCATAGATAATGCAGATCTGAGGTGCTCTGCAGCATGAAAATCCACCAAGAAAAATGATTTTATCCTTATCATGGCAAAGCCACGGGAAGGGCTGGTGAGAAGGAAGGAAGGAGAATTGGTGGAAGCAGCTCCTGCAGGTCAAATGTGGGGGAAAGGGAACAAGGAGAGGGCAGGCCTGGGAACCATGGCACATCCATACATATCTTAGATGTTAGGTGTTGGAGCCCTGGGTGCTCAGAATTCCAGACTTTCTGTGCTGCCAGGCACTGATCCCCAGGAGAGCACTGCATTGACCTGAGGCTGTGGAGAAGGATTCCAGAATGGAATGACAGAACTGGGATTGTGGGTGTGCAGTTTGAATAGAAGTGTGTAACATCACAGGGTGGGAAACTTAGAATTTAAAGCTTTAGAATATAGTAATATATATAAGGCAAGAGGGAAATTTTAGGGTGATGGCTGGTCCTTCTATCACCTTCTTCAGGAGTGTAGGTGGTATTTTGTCATTAGATAGAAAAATCCACATTGCAGGATATGAGTAGTTAGTTATTAGGTTAAAAGTAAAAATAATGTAAGTGTCATTTCTTTATTAGTTTTTTCCTTAAAAGACCTTATAAAGATAAATATGAGGCTATTTGGTGACCTGTTAGTGAAATGCTGTAGAACTCACAACTTATAAGACTACAATATAGATAAGAATTAATAAATATATGAGTCTGAACATGAAATACCATCTCTACACTTTTAATCCTGACCCTGACCAAAGCAGAAAAAGAAGAAAAAAAGGCAATAGTTAGGGAAAAATGGAGGGTGCTCAGAGCAGCTGTGGCTGTCCCTGGATCCCTGGAATGTCCAAAGCCAGGCTGGATGGGGCTTGGGGCAGCCTGGGATAGTGGAAAGAGGCAGGGTGTGAAATGAGATGATTTTTAATGTCCTTTCCAATCCAGACCCTTCCGTGATTCCATGATTTGCACTGTTAACCTCTCTTCTTCCAGCCTCAGGCTCTTTTCTAATCTTGAGATTCCCAAAGTGATGGCAGCAGGGTGAGGCTCCAGTGCCTCCCCACAGCGCGTGGTTAATCCAGACCCAGTGGCCATGTAGCTGAGCAAAAAGGTTAACACGGTGCAAAATCACCCAAATTCCACCCTGCTGGTTCCCCGACAGCTGTGGAAACAGGGAGAAGGGAAAAATGGAATCAGTGAGTATTTTTCAGTCTGTGAATTACAACCACCTGGGCACGTGCACTCCCAGGCCAGCAGCACCTGACTCCCGGCTGCTCCCAGGTAGATTTCCAGGAGCAAAGGGACAAAACTCGGCATTGCTGAGGCACGAGGCAGATGAGCTGGGGCACAGCGCTGCAGCGGTGTGCAAACACCACAGAACAGCAAGGGGCCTTTCACTGCTGGTGCTGCCACACGCCAGAAAGCCGTGATAAATTGGTGTCAGTGTGCTTAGTCTGGGTTACACCGAGGGGAAATATTTATCAGAATGGGGTTTTTAATGACCTATTCGTCTTTTAGGACAATTCCCCCAAAAGGCAGCAGCAGATTTACCCTTCAGTCAGAAGAAAATGCCAGATACGTGTGGTGTGTGGGAAGCAGGGGCGAATGATTTCATTGAACTGAATAATTTTCTTATGCGTTTTACTTCCACTTGTGCCGTTTCCTGTGACTTTGACAAGAGTTTGAAACCGCAGTGAAAAAACCAGTTTTTTTTCTGTGCAGACGGGAGGATTGCAAGCGTCTCCTCATTTCAGTGAGTTGTTTACACCGGCTCGCTCACATCGGCGTGAGAATGGAAACGGGGTTGTGGGTTTGTACAGATGATCCACACACACCTGACAGGGGCTTGCCAGGTGGGGGTCGGACATCAGGACAAGAAGGTGTGGTGGTAAACTGTGCCAGGGCTGGTTTGGGTTGGACACCAGCAGGAATTTCTCCATGGAGAGGGTGCTCAGGCCTCGGCAGGGATTCTCGGAGCGCCCATCCCTGCAGGCGTCCAGCGCTCTGGGCTGGGTGACTGGCTGCACTGGGTGACCTTGGAGGGCTTTCCCCAGCTCAGTGATTCTGTGATTCCGTAATTCCCTAGCTCAAACAGCCC